ATCCCGACTCATTGTATTATACGGTCGACGAAGCCTTATCAACAGTATATATATTGAACTGGAGACATATTATAATAATATTCTGACGATAAGACTCTTCAGACTGATATATTCCCCTCGTTAATGTTATCAGATAAGACATGACGGGCTTAATGAGAGTGGTCGACAAAGTGTCAACAAAAGATTCCCCCCCCCCACCACTTCCCTCCCCCCCATCATCCTCTCCCCCTCCCCTCCCCCCACCAATATTGCTCCATCTCCCTCCTCTATTGTCTTTTCTCTTACCCCTCTGTTCCCCCCATTAGAGAACATCCCCCCCCCCCTTACCTTCTCACTTTGAGCTCCCACTAAATCAAATCAAAAGATTCTATTCGTAAATGGCAGTACAGTTATGTTTGGGAAAATTTACCTTGGCAATTACAGTACATTCATTACATAAGAGGTTATCTTGGAGTTATCTTGAGATGATTTCGGGGGCTTAGCGTCCCCGCGGCCCGGTCCTCGACCAGGCCTCCTTTTTTGTTACACATCCCCAGGAAGCAGCCCGTAGCAGCTGTCTAACTCCCAGGTACCTATTTACTGCTAGGTAACAGGGGGCATCAGGGGTGAAAGAAACATTTTGCTTATTTGTCTCCTCCTCCACCGGGGATCGAACTCGGGAACCTCAGGACTACGAATCCGAAGCGCTGTCCACCCAGCTGTCAGGCGCCCTAGAGTGTGTCACAATAACCACACCGCAGGTTTGTCATTGTCACAATCACAAACAATATTCGCATTCAATTTACGTACAGCATTACAATGCTGACTGGATTATAGCATTCTACATCAACCTTAAAAGATGCTTTGCTTCTCACTACCCTTTCACCTTCACTCTACCCTCCCTACTCCCCCTTCTAACACACTAACACCTCACCATCCCTTTTCCCTCACTCTAACCCACTCTCCGCCCATCACTCCCTCCCCCCTGTCCCACGACCCCATCACCCCCTCCCTACAGCGCTGTCAGCACACTTAACGCCTCATCAATATTGCTCAAGTTTCGTCAAATACTTTGTATGAAAATAATGTCTAGATTATGCTTGCTTCGTCGCTCATGTGGTGAGCTGGCTCAGGGACTCATGGCTCATGTGGTGAGCTGGCTCAGGGCCTCATGGCTCATGTGGTGAGCGGGCTCAGGACCTCATGGCTCATGTGGTGAGCTGGTTCAGGGCCTCATGGCTCATGTGGTGAGCTGGCTCAGGGCCTCATGGCTCATGTGGTGAGCTGGCTCAGGGCCTCATGACTCATGTGGTTGGTTGTGAAGCTGATTCAAGACCTCATGGCTCATGTGGTGAGCTGACTCAGGACCTCATGGCTCATGTGATGAACTGACACCATCGTTCATCAGATGGGTTAATTGCCTGACACCATTATTCAGGGTCTGGATTAATTTCCTGGCAACAGGTGTCATTTAGTAGACCTGGTATCCAAAGATAATATGAGTAGGGTTCATAAATTTATGAGGATGTATTTCCTCATAAATTTATTGTAATTTTGATTTTGTAATGTATTTCTCATGGTTCTGGCCATGAGACAATGAAGAGGAGGATGAGTGGTGTTATGTCCTGGATTGGTCAACATAATTTTGTATTAGAGACGCTGGCTAATAGATATACTTAACTGTAATGAGGTGAGTGTAGAGAAAGTAAATGTGTACACAATGTACCGGACGAGGGGCAGTGGCTTTCATATCACAAGGATGAGATGATGCCATGAGAAGTTATTGAGGCGCTATGATGGGATCGAACCTGTGTACTAGAGTTGGTAGTATGTGTGTGATTGAGAGGTTTAGAGATGGAGGTTCGATTCCATTTACCATTTTAATATTTGTTTCAGGCTTACAAAGTACCGTACATAAAGGCTACAATGAAATAACAGATAGTCGGACGTAAGCATTAGATGCGGATCGAAGTCCTGGACTCTGATTTATGAAGCATTTAGGCAACCCTTTACGAAACCACTATATCTTTCCTCAATCATGGCGGCTTTGTTTACACTTATTAAACGTTTATGAGTCCCGCAGGACAACGAGGTTGTTTGTACCAATAATAACCTTGACTTGTGAACTTTCGAAACTCGTCAACTGTTTAATAAGTTTAAAGTAACCCCGCCATGATTAAGGACGGATGAACAGGTTGCGTAACGTGATTGCGCAAATACTTGATGAATCGTATCCCTGAAGAGTATGACGATAACACTCTGACATAAACGAGTGAACATTTTCCTTTACCTGAATGCCATCCACTTTGGATTTTTTTTGCCTGAATTGTAACAATCAATTCCCCCCTGTGAGTGACAACAATTACACGTCGAACTTTAACCAGCTATTGTGTGTGTCACCGCTTTTGTTGTCAGCCGAAAGTCGCATTGACAGAGCGTGAATAACAAACAGTTCTTTTTATCGGTTTGCTTTCAGTGAGAATCCCATCTTTTTTTTCCAAATCAGGATTGTCAATGGCCGTCGCTATTTTTTTGTATCATAGATCAAAGAAGAGGACAGAGAGGAACCCAGGCAGGTCCACAGAGCAAGCCATGTGATGCTGTATGCCGCTATGTTGGAGGTCATGTTCTAACATGTTCTTACCTGTTCTTAACCCCTGGTGGTCATATTGGGCCGGGGAGGAGGGAACTATCTTGAGAAAGCGCCAAGCCATTACAACTATATAACCTTTGGAAGGAATCAGGATAAAGGCTTAGGATGGGACGGGGAGAAGAAAGGACTGGTGCCCAACCACTTTGACGGTCGAGGTGCATGGGGAGGGGGGGGTCGTATGGCCATATATATTATATATATATATATATATATATATATATATATATATATATATATATATATATATATATATATATATATATATATATATATATATATATATATATAATATATATATATATATATATATATATATATATATATATATATATATATATATATATATATATATATAACTACATTTATGATGCTGTACGTTGTTCTATCAAGCAAACCAATAATTATTAACACAGTAGTCTAATGTGCGTGTCTAATTATAAAATGTTACATCCAATTACTCCATTTGTTATATTAGATTATGTAATACTAAGTTAGGCTAGGCTGTGTTAAGTTAGGTCAGGCTGTTGTGTTAGGTTAGGCTAGGCTAAGTTAAAATAGAGTATGCTAGATGAGATCGTGTTAGGTTAGTTAGGTTAAGTTAGACAACAGTATAAACAGCCTGTTGGACCAAGTTATCACAAGTCGAGTCTGGCCTCAGGCTGGGCTCGGGGAGTAGAAGAACTCCCGAGACCCTCTTCAGGTAAGCTCCAGGTAGGTAAAGTTATGTTAGGTTGGGTTATGATACGTTAGGCTAGGTATGCTATCTAAGATAAGGTTACTCTAAGTTTATGATTTTAATCAAATTTATACATATTTCCAATAATACAACCTGCCACCCAAAATGAGAGTAACTGGTATAGTTACTATAAATTGGAGCACAAAGGTCTTTTGAACCCCCCAAAAAAACTAAATTAGGCCTAAAATACATTTTTGTAGGTTTAGAAAACCTACAAAAATGTTTAGAAAATCTTAGATAAAACTAGGACAAGCTAGATTAGGTTTATGTATTTATTATATTAGGTATGTATACCTGATCAACCAGGCTGTGACTCATACGTCAGGCTGTGAGCAGCCGCGTCCAAAAGCTTGGTTGATCAGTCCAGCAACCAGGAGACCTGGTCGACGACTGGGCCGCGGTTAGGCTAGGCTAAGTTAAAATATAGTATGCAAGATTAGATCGTGTTAGGTTGGTTAGGTTAGGTTAGACAGCAGTATAAACAGCCTGTTGGAGCAAGTTGTCACCCGGAAGCACCTCAAGGTAGGTATACTGCCACTGTTTCGCTGTTTGTGAGGTCTTTTAGCATTCCCATAATACAAAAAGGAGAGTTTTGGAAGGGGGGGGATACAACAGGAATAACCCTGGCCCTTCCATCTTTAATACATTCCATACCACTTTTATATGATGATTTGGCTTTAGGTTCAGAATGATATTAATCTCCAGTTATGTGACTTCACTCTGGTTGTGTCATTGTACAGCGCCACACATTGACAGTTATCTTACCTTGAGGTTACCTTGAGGGGCTTCCGGGGCTTAGCGTCCCCGCGGCCCGGTCGTTGACCAGGCCTTCGGGTTGCTGGACTGATCAACCAGGCTGTTGGACCAGTTGCTCAAAATTCAAAAATGCTCAAAATACTCGAGTTGCTCAAGCAGTTGCTCAAAATACTCGAGTTGCTCAAGCAGTTGCTCAAAATTATTGCCGAACTATTAGCCCCTAAACATAAATACAGAGTTTAAACTATTGTATCCTCTCGTGAACCAGTTATAATTAATCTGATGTATTAAAAATAATTAATTGTATAAACCACTGTATACGTACATACACGTGGTAGGTATATCCGTTATATGATATAAATTATATTCATCATGTTGCATGCGTTTGCAATTGTGTTTCATTAAGTGCATAAAAATTATGGTAGCTAAGTTCAAGTGATTGTGTTATTGTCGTATGATTGTTGATCCATATGTGATTGTTTTCTATAACTTTCTGCTGGTCCTTCTCTTGCTTCTTGAGGGCCGAAAGTACTTGAACTATTTAATAACCTTTTCATGTTGTTAACGCTGTGACAACGCCACCGAGAACCCCCCCACATTCCTACCAACACACTACTGACCACCAAGAACCCCCACACCTTGTTCTATGGTTAATACTATCTATTAATACTTATTCTATTGATCACCAACACCACCACATTCTGACCACTGACCACCAAGAACCTCTCACACCTGCCAACACTCGCACCATTAACCCTGACCCTCCTAGCCAGCACACACACACCATTAACCACCAACAACCCCACATCACTATAACCCCCTTAACATCAAGGGCCCGCCAGTGACGACTTCTCACCACTGCAGGTGTGGGTAGAAGTGAGATCGAGGGAGGAGGAGGGAGAGTGTCCAGCCTGAGTTACAGCAGTCGTCCTTGGTCCGAGCCTCCTTCAAGGAGGTCCTCTCAAACCTACACAAATGTAAGTGCACGCTTTGGCTCATTTGGTACATGTTATATGTGTAATTTGCACTGATGAAGGCGAATTAAGCCGAAAACGCGTTTAGCAGTCTCTAAAAACATGTGTTTTTTTCTGCATTATATGTGTAATGTACATATACCGTGAAATGTATAGTCACCTGTATTGTATACATTGACGTGAGTATTAATATTTATTTACAGATTTAAAGTTTTTAAGTGGTCTTCATAATTTAGGTGTTTTATTGAGAGGATTCTAGCGGAAAAGGATCTTTTTCCATGCTCTTTCTCCAGAGAGAAAGACCGACATGATTACTCCCAGATCTTTAACCTTGTTTTTTCGTTCTATAGTGTGATTTGAGTGCATTTTATATGTGGTTTCTATTTATATAATTTCGTTTATTTTCCACAGCCTAGGAGCTGGAACTCATCCTCATTATATATCATTATTTTCTGTGGCTCATTGAAAGACCCGATTAACATCAGATTGAAGGTTTGTTGTGTCCTCTATGTTGTCAACTCTCATGAACTAATCCTACTGTCCTCTCCTCATATGACAGTAGGATTTTGATGAGAGCACATATATACCCTGAGAAGAACACCCCGGCGTGTATATATTCCCTAAGAAGAGCATTTCACATTATAAAGTCACTTGCAAAGAACACTTTAGTGTATATAGATTATCCAACCCGTTCTCGCAAATTCGTAAAGTCAATATTGACTTATTAACTACGTGTTTAGGTGATATACTAAACATAATAGATACCTTTCAAAAGATTCATAGAAAACACCGACCTTACCTAACCTTGTTAGTATCTTAAGATAAGCATCTTATTGCTTCGTAATTACAGTTATTACTTAACCTATACCTATTATAGGTTAGGCAATAATTGTAATTACGAAGCAATATGATGCTTATCTTAAGATACTAACAAGGTTAGGTAAGGTCGGTGTTTTCTATGAATCTTTTTAAGGGTATCTATTATGTTAAGTATGTCACCTAAACACGTAGTTAATAAGTCAATATTGACTTATTAAATTTGCGAGAACGGGTTGAGATTATCATCTGTGTATTGAGTATGTGCGCATGTCAATCATCTGTGTATTGAGTATGTGCGCATGTCAATCATCTGTGTATTGAGTATGTGCGCATGTCAATCATCTGTGTATTGAGTATGTGCGCATGTCAATCATCTGTGTATAGAGTATGTGCGCATGTCAATCATATGATATATAGAGTATGTGTGCACGCCAATCATACGATATACAGAGTATGTGCGCACGCCAATCATACGATATACAGAGTATGTGTGCACGCCAATCATACGATATATAGAGTATGTGCGCACGCCAATCATCTTGAAACCACGAAGTGAGAATTGTTGTAAATAAACTGCATTTAAAATAAAAGTGTCCCAAAATAACCATAAATATAAAACCATCATAAACTGTGACTTTAGTTGACAAATTATTCTTATACACGATTTCTCTAACAGCTGTTTTGGAGCGAAATATAATTTCGATCGAATAAAAAAAACTTTTGCTTCTTTTCGTTAAGATAATAACAAAAACGTAAAAGAAGAAATTAATTACCATGTATGAACTCCAAAAAGATCATTGCGGGAGGGAGAGAGGGTCTGCGTGCTCGCAAATCCCGGATAATATACATTTGTCGTTCGTCGAGACTGTAATTCGGAAATAAGTGAGTCATGCAAGAAATTTACGTTTTCTCTGAACCGATGTATTATTTACATGCCGCAACACAGAAAATGGTCCTTTTGCAATTCATAGAAAATGTTGAAGTACTCGAAGGGCTGACTGAGTTAACATCTTCATTCCGGTGTGCTTCGCGTGACTAAGACAATCAAATCTTCTGAGCTGCTTCAGAAGATTTCACGCCTCCGTTAATTTTCTCTCTGTCATATTTGTTATTCTTTAAAATAAGTTCACGATGACTTACGATTTTCCTGAATGGGTGCAAGCTTTAAAAAATTTTCAGGATAATACACTGGAAGTATAATACTGAGATCCAGTATTCACTGGAAGTGAATACTGAGCTGCAAAGACAATTTTGATTTTCCGCGGACTGCTGCCCTGTGTGGGTGAGACTCGCACTGCGGCTGTGTGCTAGGGCTTATACATTACTTTCTCTTTTTTCTCTTTTTCTCTCTCTCTCTCTTTAGATGCATTCCCTCTCAGTTAAGTTATCCTGATATCATTTAGTTATCCATGTAGCAAATGATACAGTTATCCCTGTATCATTTAGATATGCCGCTTATGTGAGTTAGTATGAACTGCGCCTTGACTTTTAGATAATGTGTAGTATATCCACTCATCTCTGATGTCTGTTAGTCTCTCACTGAACTCATATTGACTCCTTGTGCGAGTGACATGGTCAAATGTCATGTCATTTTCGCCTGTCATAGCATGTGCGTCTGTCATGTCATGTTCGCCTGGCATTTCGTGTCATTTCATGTGCGCTAACCATTTTTTCTATTCCCAATCTAGATTACTATTAAATGATCTGATCAGCTGATCTTATTGAACTTGATGAACTTGATGGACAAGATGAACTTGTCTTTGGCATAGTTCATGGGTACCAGTATATAAGTGCAATGTTTTCTACTTATCATAACCAATGTTCACGACGACTCTTCCAATAGTTGCTTTGACTAGACGGTAGAGCGACGGCCTCGCTTCATGCAGGTCGGCGTTCAATCCCTGACCGTCCAAGTGATTGGGCACCATTCCTTCCCCCCGTCCCATCCTAATTCCTTATCCTGACCCCCTTCCAAGTGCTATATAGTCTTGATAACTTGTCGCTTTCCCCTGTTAACTACCTCACCTTCCAATAGTTGACAAGGTTGGTAAATGGTCTACCTGATTACCAGCCCTGGAAACACCTGATATTAACCCCCCCCCCCTAATATATAGTTTTTCTTAGAAACTCTGGATTTTCTTGGCCGGACGTGATGAGAAAATTAAGGAATAAATTAAATAATTAAGAGATGGATTAGTGGAAAATGTAAATAAGTAAATAAGACATAATAAACGGATGTGTACGAAATGAGGACCTCTAAGTCACATTTTAATTATGGAACATGTCAGCTGTTTGGAGCAATTAACAACACACACACACACACACGTGTGTGTGTGTGTGTGTGTGTGGCAGACAGGAGGCACTGAACTACAGGCCAGTGCCCCTAACTTGCATACCATGCAAGTCGGTGGAGACGATTATGCGAAAAAAACTAGTGGAACATCTAGAGCGAAAGAAGTTTGTAACACAACATCAACATGGGTTCAGGGATGGCAAGTCCTGCCTCACAGGATTAACTGAATTCTACGATCAGGCAACAAGAATCAGGTAAGAAGGAGAGGGATGGGCAAACTGCATATTTTTTTATTGTCAGAAAGCCTTTGACACAGTACCACACCAGAGGCTAGTGAAAAAGCTGGAGATGCAAGCAGGAGTGAAAGGGAAGGTACTCCATTGGATAAGAGAGTACCTAAGCAGCAGAAGACAGCGAGTCACTGTGAGGGGGTGAGGCATCAAATTGGCGAGGTGTACCAGTGGAGTCCCGCAGGGTTCAGTCATTGGACCTATACTGTTTCTGATATATGTAAATGATCTCCCAGAGGGTATAGAATCGTTCCTCTCATTGTTTGCTGATGATGCAAAAATTATGAGGAGGATAAAGACGGAGGAAGATAGTATGAGGCTACAAAATGACCTAGACAGACAAATGGCTACTAAAGTTCAACCCAAGTAAATGTAAGGTAATGAAACTAGGCAGTGGAAACAGGAGACCAGACACAGGATACAGAATGGAAGATGAAGTCCTTCATGAAACGGACAGAGAAAGATCTAGGAGTTGATATCACACCAAACTTGCCTCCTGAAGCCCACATAAAAAGAATAACATATGCAGCGTATGCGAGGCTGGCTAACATCAGAACTGCCTTCAGGAACCTGTGCAAGGAATCATTCAGAACCTTGTATACCACATATGTAAGACCAATCCTGGAGTATGCGGCCCCAGCATAGAGCCCGTACCTTGTCATGCACAAGACGAAGCTTGAAAAAGTTCAGAGGTATGCCACTAGGCTAGTCCCAGAACTAAGAGGCATAGTTCCGAGGACAGGCTGCGTGAAATGCACCTCTCGACATTGAAAGACAGAAGGGTAAGGGAAGACATAATCACTACCTACAACATTCTCAGAGGAATTGACAGGTTAGATAAAGATAAACTGTTTAACACGGGTGGTACGCGAATAAGGGGACACAGGTGGAAACTGAGTACCCACATGAGCCACAGGGACGTTAGAAAGAACTTTTTAAGTGTCAGAGTAGTTAACAGACGGAATGCATTAGGCAGTGATGTGGTGGAGGCTGACTCCATACACAGTTTCAAATGTAGATATGATAGAGCCCAGTAGGCTGAGGAACCTGTACACCAGTTGATTGACAGTTGAGAGGCGGGACCAAAGAGCCAGAGCATAACCCCCGCAAGCACAACTAGGTGAGTACACACAACATTCCCCTCACTAATGTCGTGCACGTGGCAAGCTTCCGTTGTTGACTGCAAGGGGGAAATCGCTAATAATTAATGCTTCTATTATCATAATTTTAGGGGATTATTCGCCGCCCTCTAGTCTAAAAAGGCATTAAGCTTTTGCCTTATTCGTGCGTGCATGTGTGTGTGTGTGTGTGTGTATTCACCTATTTGTACTCACCTATTTGTGCTTGTGGGGGTTGAGCTTTGGCTCTTTGGTCCCGCCTCTCAACTGTCAATCAACTGGTGTACAGGATCCTGAGCCTACTGGGCTCTATCATATCTACACTTGAAACTGTGTGTGTGTGTGTGTGTGTGTGTGTGTGTGTGTGTGTGTGTGTGTGTGTGTGTGTGTGTGTGTGTGTGTGTGTATGTTACCTCAATATACAATAGTTTACGTAAATATAATAAGAGAAACGAGATAATAGAGATATAGTTTTAAACTATT